GTGAGAAGGAGGGCTGCAATTTGGTCTAAAAATCTTTACTTTTGTGCAGGTTGATGCTTCTTTCCCCCAATGCTGAGTTAATTCTGTGAAACCCTTCTAAACTGAAGACTAATCTGCTGCTTATTAAATATGTGTGGATGTCTGAAAGGCTTCACTAACTCTAACATCCCTTCTTCAAGGTCTTGCTATTCTTAGTTTTTCACACACAATGAGCCCATTTGGGGTCAAAATAACGGCTGCTTGCTTTCTTTTGGAATCAATCGATAAAACGATTATTTCACCACATCTGATACCCCTTTACAGGTATTTGGTGATAGTGAGCACTAAAGCCCAATTAACACAGATATGGCAGCGTGTCAAAATGTAAACATGACCGCCACAACAAGCAAGCATGTCGTTATTACTGCTGTTCAAAAAAGACCTATTATTTTTTAGAATAAAAAAACAACCTTGAGTCATGTTTGAACTGATGCAGCTTGGGCTGTGTTTTATTCACCCATTTTTCATGCATATATTCAGAAACTAGATGGTGTTACCTTTCAAATAATGTATCATACATGTAATTTGGGCTTCCAGTTCCTAAGTTATTTGCTTTTCCATTTGGGTATGCAAAATAGGCGAATTTCCCAAAATGAGGTGGATATTGAGAAGGAGCTTTCAGAGGCAGGCTGCTCTGGGCTTTTTTTTTTTATATCCTTTATTTTATGACAAATAATCCCCAGAGTTGTCCTCAGATCAGAGCACCCGTCTTTATTAGCTTACTCGGCGATTCCCGGTCCAGCTGAAGGTGTTCAGGGTGAAAATCAGGAGAATAATAATGTCCCCTGAGCTGCCGACCACCTGATCGACATATAATCCTTTAGACTTCAAACTGGTCTGTTTGACAGTTAGTTGTTGATCCAGGCAGTTGGAGAGGCCTCCACTTGAGTCTGCTGGAGATGCTGATCGAATAAATCAGGTTTAATCGTCTTAAATGTGGGATGTGATGGGAAATGGATGATCTTTCTCTGGCACTTGGAAGAAGTGGCAGTTACCTGACATCTGCTGGGTTCTCACAGCCTGACCTGCGCTGAGGATACAATTGCACTGAAATGGAGTTAGCAGTTCATTTGATTCCAAGGGGAGAAAACCCTGGAAAATGTAGCTTTTATGTATTTTACTGTGAAAACAAGAGCATGCTATAATTTAGGAAGTATTTACATTTTCGGCACAAAAACTAGATTAAGGATTAACTAAGGTTTAAGTTTAGTAGAAAGACATTTTTTTATTTATTTTCCATTATCAAAACATGGATGTGTAAAATATGACACCTAATACTGCTTAGTCAGGTTTTATAGATGCTTTCATGATGAAATGTACGACAGATCACCTGTAATAATGCTCTATCATTTTCCTCCGTTCTTCTTTCCATGTCATTTTCCCAGAGCAGAAATTAAAATGTTGACGTCTGTCTTGCTTCTCAGATGGACATCCACGGGAAGATCCGAGAGGTGCTGGCAGAGACTATAAAGGATGATCAAGGCTCAGGGCATCGACATCTGTCTGAGGCAGACTTTGTTCAAGCTCTCCAACGAAGAGGCATCATCGACAACGTGATGAAAGACCTCCACTTTACCCAGGTTTACCACCAGACTTTAAACTCACTTAGCTGAGATTTCAGTAGTCTAGCGAGGATTGGTTGGATTCCATCAAAACTGAGTTAATTAGAAGGTGTTTAACCCTTCATAGGACACTCAGTGAAATGCTTTAAAGTCAGAATTTCAAACCAATACTGTTATTGGAATCCAAGACAAGACCTTTTTATCTGTGTAACATAAAAAAATTATTTTGTTACGTCAAAAACTAATGTCAATGTAATAACAAGAAATGCCAACTTGCCCAAATATATTAGGAAAAATAACAAAAGTGCTTCTATAAGAACTCCATTTGTAAGGGGTATGCAAGTGATCACATTTTAATCGAAAAAAATATGAACCAAATAAACAATCTTTACAATTAATAAAAGCCTCTTAGCTCTTAAAGTATTGAATGAGTGAACATTTAAGCAGAGCAACACAAATTTTCATTGTTTTTATCCATTATTTAGGTTTTTCTATTAGAATGACCCAAAGTTATAATCGTTTAGTTTTTTTTATTTACAAACTTCTGATTTTTTCTTCAACTTCATTAAAAAAACGACTTTTATCAAAGTGTTAACTGTGCAGGAGCATTAATTGAAGCACAGTTTCTTCCATCGAATAGTCAAAACTACTTATCCACACGGTATTAAAATATTGACAACATTAAACAATTAAAAATTTACTGTGAGCTGAAGTTAAAGTTCCATTTCTAAAATATGATCTATGAGAGCAAAGCTCTGCTTAAAGCTGTACCTTCAACATGTAGCCACTGAAGCTACTTTTTCTCCTTATTAAGATAAAGAATCCAGGTGGCAGCATGTTTCATCAGGGACTTGTTTAGTTGTGAGTCTGATTTACGGGAATATAAGTAACGGAAAAAACAAAGGTTCCTTTAGTCAGAGGCGTCAGAAGCATTCATGTTTATTACTGAAGAATAAATCCTACTGTTTAAAAATCACTTTGTAGAAGTTAGAGTATCACCTTTTTTTACTGAAGTAAAGTGTAAAAGTATAATTATTAAAACTATTTTATAATTATAAAAGTAAAGTAATGCATAACAAATGTTAAGGACAGATGCTTTAAACCTTATACTGGTTCCTGTGCAAATGCATTAAAGGAACATCTTCCACAATTCTGAATTTTTATTTTATTTTTCTTTATTCTAACAGGCTGCAATGAAAATGAACTTAAATGAAAAAAAGACTAACAAGTTTATTTTTAAAATGTAAGGAGTAGAAAGTAGAGATAATAAAAAAAAATGTAAGTAGAAGTAAAAAGTTGTACAAAAAAATAATAATTCCAGTTAGTATAGATAACCAATATTTCTGCCTAAGTGAGGTAACAAAGTATTTGTACTTTGTAACTTGACATCTCTGCCTACAAACAATGTAAAACATTTCTTTTATGCCTTAAAATTACACAACTGATTAACTGAATTCCCCCTAACTCCTATTGGCCAGTTAATCTCCCTGCAACTGTAGACATTGATAACTGCTCTAAATATTTTTGCTACTATTGTGGAGACTTTATTTAAAGTTTCTGTCATGCTGAATACCACTGACCGTTTCTCACTTTTTATGGCAGCAAAATGCTACAAATATAGAAGCAGAATCTCCTCCCAAGCCTGCTGCCCATAATGTTGACCAGGATAGGACTCATCTTAAGAGAAGTAAGCAGCACGACTCATAATACATGAGCTAAATGAATGGAGCTGCCCCCCTCATCTGTGTTTTAACAGACTTTGTCATTTGTTTTGATTTTATCTAAGCTAATCTTGATCCATCAAGGCGATACCTTTATCTTCAAGTACTTGGAGGTAAGGCCTTTCTCGAGCACCTCCAGGAATCGGAGCCTTTACCTGGTCAGGTGTGTTCTACGTTTACACTCTACCTGCACTTCCGCAACCAGAGGTTTCGCTCCAAACCAGTTCCCTGTGCGTGTGATCCTGACCTGAAGGAAGGCTTCCTTCTAGAGGTCCACAGGGATGCCGTTGGTAAGAGGAAACCACCTTTACTGGAATCAATCATCAGATGTCTGTCTCTGTTTTTTTGTTTTCTGGCATTTGTTCCTGTTGTTGCAGGAGATGGAAGCAAGATGGTAGATGCAACGACCATGCTGTCTATGTGTGATCCAGTTCACTTTGTGCTGATCAAGACGGACACTTCCAGTGAAACAACGCTGGTCTCCTCTCACTTTCTGGACTGGAGGAGAGTCCTCAGCTCGCCCAGTTGCAAGACATGTTTCCCTGTAGAGCTGATGGGAGTCGGTGAGCATCACTGGATGATGATGAAATAAGATAATGTGTAAAACGGCATGTTTTTGCACTAAAGCCATAAAAAGTATTTTTTAAGATTTTTATTATGTGATAATGCCAGTCCTTTATAAAAACCCAGTTTCTCCCTGTGATGAGAAGCTAGGCGGGTTTTTCTCATTCTCACCACTCAGAGAACAAAAGGATTCTGTTCTTGAAGCCAGGTCTTGGGGCTTCTCGCTTGTCTGCACCGAGATTTTCCTTCAAATTGTGTCTTCGAACCTTTTTTTGTGATTTTTCAGGATTTGGATCAGAGTTTTTTGTTAGGAAGAGTCCAATGACCAACTCCACTACTTCTTTCCCATCTTTCATAACTGGAGACACTGATTAATCCAGGTGTGTCTGGCCAATGTCGTCACGGTTACTGAGGTCAGGCACATCTGGATTAATCAGTATGTATTAACCAAGAGGCAAATGAGTTTTTCTCTGTTCTGTCTCTTGTGACCTCAGGAACCGGAACAAATTTCTTGGTTCCTGCAGATTAAGCGACAAGCAGCAGCCACTCCCTGTCTCCCTGGGAAACGCGTGGCCCAGCCTGTTGAAGCCACCTTTAGCACCTGGCCTGCAGGAGTGACTGCAACTATTCCTTTTTCAGCTAATGTCAAAGTAGTGAAAATGTGTTTTTCTGTGGGAGGTCTCAGACTTTGTCCAGCCTTCCTAAAGAAGACTCTAATCACCAAATGTGGTTTGAAACCAAGCTGCAGCCGCTCTTGTGTTTACAGATG